GCCATCTTTCATATCGTGTCCACTTCACACTTTCTACCTTGCTTTTCCCTATCCATTTATCTAGACCTCTTAGTTTGTTATCAACTGATTACTCTGCACACCTATACCTACTCATATATATATTCAAATTCAGCTTAGCCCTGGGATTTATCTACTGACTAATAAAGCTGTGGATATGTAAAAAATCTATCGAAAAGAAATTTCTTCGCGTTTCCACTTGGCTTTTATATATCAATGGCCATATTTCACGATCTGCAACATCTCGGACAGCCCATAACGGTACAAGGCCCAAACAAGCAATTGAAGTCCAGCATCAGGTTCGCCGAAGAAAAAGCTACCGTGCATTTTATCAATGAGTGTGCTCAAAGCTGCCGTTGACCGATAACCCAATGAACCACATTGCGAAGAAGTCATGTAAAACCACATACCCGGTCGCCCAGACATTACGCATTTAACCAACCGGATACAGCTCAGTCAAACCTTGATGAAATGGGACTCATACTCTCCAGATGCTTGATCATAGTTGAGGATTTGCAGTTGATCATTTTTGCTACTTATACGGCACAAAATATTTCATATTACTCTCTTTTATTCATCAAATTTTAATGATTTTTTTTAAATAACGTGAAAATTAAGTAACTCTGACGCAAATTAGATTTTGTGTAACACGTCACCCGTTGATGACAGATTCAAACAACGATACTGATCAGAATTCACATGTTTAAGGACGAGGAATGTGAAGGAATATTTGTTGTCCCTAGGGCACGTTTTCTGAGTAATCTTGGCTCATATCGTTGATCTCAACTAAAGTCAAACATGTTGTCGTATTGTTTAAGAAATATCTATCAGGTGAATTGCAACATTGAAACAGTCTGTTCCCACTATGAACTGGAATAAAGAACACAGCAGCATAGTGTCGAAAAATTTATTTCCAAGCGGCAGCTTACACAAAGAGTAGCTGAACACATCCCTGTGTGGGTTAACAAACTAGTGAACGAATCAGACCAGAGTGATCAAGGTCAAACGTCAAGCCAACGTCGCACACCAGCGTCATCAATCGTTCGTCGCTTGTTCGGACATCGAGTGAACGTGGCCACGATGTTTTAAAGTGTCCTCATCACACAAAATTCTCGGTCGCTCCAGTTTACAGAGTTGATTGTGAATAAACGGTGGTGGTCCAAGCTGAGCAAGTAGAAAGAATTATTCTAGCCCTGCCTTGGTAAATAGATGGACGCAGATAACAGCAACAGCTCATCCGCGATTATTGTTACTTTTTAGTTGTCATTATATATTCTTTGACTGTAGTGTATGTACCTGAAGAGACAGTCAAATTTTTCCGGAAATAAGTTGTGCAACAAAGTGCTGCCGTGTACTTTATTCGAATGCAGCATGTGAGGGGAAATGCGATGACAAACTGATCCAAATAATGTCAACGTGTCTTGCAATAAGACAACGCAGGGAGACATTTTTATACCTACCATACTAAAATTATGTTTTACGAAAAGTTAATTATATGGATTTCGGCAAACGTAGCGTAACTTTGAAGCCAGTAATTGCTGAGGAAAGGTATTACTGATGCAGTTAAAAATCGGAACAATATATCGCCAGAAGGCATTGCATTTTGAAGATGTAAGATGCAAGTTTGCTTAAATAATCTTTTGGCATGCTTTCCTATTTTCATTTTTTTGATGTGGTTTCACTTTGGAAACTCCACTATCTCCGGATAGAAAAGAGATACGGTTTGCAAACGCACAAGCGGAATATAGTCTGGTACCAAATCCACCGTATTTGGTGAACAACGTCGTAGAAAACAATTGAAAAAGCTTTTATATTTGAAATGATAACTTTTTATGACACATCCTAGGCTGTCATATTGATTTTGTGAATAGTTCAAAAACAGCGACAGCATACAACCAATATATGAGACTCGACTGCTTGTTATACCCTCAAAAGCGTGGATTGTAAAAATTGATAATGACAGTTTTACATCTTTAGTTATTCAGCAGCATGACTAAAGTATCTGACCCGTTAACTATTCGTTTGTTATACTTTGAGCGAAATTGTTTCCTTTCTAAACGTTTTACCAAAGTTTCAGATTCACCAATCAAGTTCATTTATTTTTAGAAGAATAAATAAATACGATCAGTAGGGTAACGACGAAATGATTCCGTCTCGGAGAAGCCAGTAATTAGGGATTGTCATTCTCAACCCTTTTTGCCATTCCCGGGTATTTCTGATGGTTATCAGCTGTTCCCGTATGAGTACTAAGGGCTCGGATGAAACACGTTTCTGTTGGAATGTGGGTCAGTGTTTTCATTGCTGAAAAACTCCTAATGCCTAACTCATTCAGTGCGCGTAAAACGCATATACAGTATCGCCGAATTCCTCAAAATAATGGAGAATTCAACTGATCAAAAGGAGACAAACGCTGTCATCAGCGCCACTATTTGGTCTGGTGTATAGTGTGACATGCTATGTCATCTCTTTTCAAACGCCCCGTCTATGTGGATCGAGGAATAACAGATGAGTAGCAATGGACTGCAGTGTCATTAGTAGTTACGTGTTCTCTAGTCCTGGTCTAATTCACTCACGCATAACTCAGGGTTCGTCCTATTCATACTGAGAACCAGATTAGCCTAGAGTGAACAAAATGTCATTCTGTCATGCAAAACCTAAATGTTCAGATGAAGCCCGGAAAGTGAAAGATCTGGATTTTAGAACTGAACTCACTAGCCTTACTCACATCAGCCCTCATTCTGCGCAAATATAGCATCTATAATCATAGTTTTATTATCAAGATAAACAGATTCAATGTAATCGTTTGGAGATCGCGCCCCAATGACACTTGCGTACTGACGTAGGATATGATAGCAAAACACAACTGTAAAGTTAGGCCTCATCGTATACAAGAAACCATAGCTTATCTGACCAGCTGCATAATATTTAATTGTACAACTGGATATAACTTTACATTTGAGGTCATGGGTTTGATCCAAACTGAATTTATAATCTCCGGTCACCAAGGTTCCTGCACTGTACGATAATAACCGGAATGGTTGACAAGCTGTTTTGTGTTCAAAGCACTCATACAACCAAACAGATTCCCGATCACCACAACAGTTTGGCGCCATTTTGTATCCAATAGTAAATAATGGCAAATTATGGTCTAATGGAACAAGAAGTCGGTCATTCACTAACTGAGGCACCTGAAATGATTAAAGTATTAAAACTCTAATACACATAAACAAACCGAGGTTGGCACTTTGGACTGATGACGTGACTGAAAATGTGTTGAAATATGCATCATGCCAAGAATAAAACATAAAGTGTATCGTAGCAAAAACTAGCTGTGAAATTAACAAACCAGCCATCGTCAACAATGGATGAAGTGCGAGAAAATGAGAAATTTTCACCGAAACGCTTTTCACAATTCACCACGTCAGTGCTGCTCCGGACAAACTGGGGGAGAAAATTACTGCTGCTGCTCCACCGCCGCTGCTTCGCCGCCG